CAGGGCAGCCACACAGGAAAACATCCAGCCAGGTTTGAAAGTCTCCAGAGGAGGAAAATCCACATCCACTCTGGGCAGCCTGTACCAGGGCTCCAAAATCTTAACAGTAAGGAAGTTTCTCCTCATGCCAAGGTGGAACTTCTTCTGTTCTAACTTAAAACCATTATTCCTTGTTCTATCAGTGGGCACCACTGAGAAGTGATTGTCTCCTTCCTCTTGATCCCCGCCTATCTGATATTTCTATACCCTAATAAGGTCCCCTCTCAGCCATCTCTTTTCAAGGCTAAACAGCGCCAGTTATCTCAGTCTCTCTCCACAGCAGAGATGTTCAAGTCCCTTGATCACACTTGTAGCTCTCCCTTGGACTCACTCCAGTAGGTCCCTGTCTCTCTTGAATTGGGGAGCCGAAAACTGGACAGAGTATTCCAGGAGTGGTCTCACCAGGGCACAGCAGAGGGGCAGGAGAACTTCCCTAGCCCTGCTGGACACACTTTTCTTAATGCACCCCAGGATCTCATTGGCCCTCTTGGCCACAAAGGCATATAGCTGTCCCACAGACAACTCACGGCCCACTGGAACTCCGAAGTCTTTCTCCACAGGGCTGATTTCCAGCAGGACCTCCCCTAATCTGTACTGGGGCTGGTGTTATTCCTCCCCAAATGCAGGACTCCACACTTGTCCTTATTCAGCTTCATGAGGTTCCCATTTCTCAGCTCTCCAGCCTGCCCAGATCTCGTTGGATGACAGCAGAGCCCTCCTGTGTGGCAGCAACCCCTCCCAGTCTCGTATCATCAGTGAACTTTCTTAAGGTGCACTCTGTCTCCCCATCCAGGTCATTGATGAAGATATTGAACAAAACCGGACCCAGCACTGATCCCTGGTGAACACCACTTTCCACAGGCCTCCAACTTGACTCTCTGTCACTGGTCACAACTGTCTGAACTCTGTAGCTGAGCCATTTCGCAATCCACCTCACAGTACAATCATCTGTCCTCCATTTCTTGAGTTTACCTGTGTGGATGTTATGGGAGACATTACTGAAAGCCTTACTGAAATCGAGTCAATGTCCTTACAAGACAGACATTGAGGTGCTGGAACATGTCCAAAGAAGTGCAACGAAGTTAGTGAAGGATCTCGAGCACATGGCTTGTGAGGACCTGCTGAGGGAACTGGGGTTGTTCAGCCTGGAGAAAAGGAGAGTGAGGGGAGACCTTCTAGCTCTCTACATCTCCCTGAAAGGAGGCTGGACAGAGGTAGGTGTTGGTCTGTTCAGTCATGTAACAAGCAATAGGAGAAGAGGAAATGGCCTCAAGCTGACACAAGGGAAGTTTAGATGGGATATTAGGAATAATGTCTTTACTGAAAGGGTTATTGGGCATCAGAACAGGTTGCCTATGGAGGTGGTGGAATCTCCGTCCCTGGATCTTATTTAGGAGTCATGTAGACATAGTGCTTAGGGATATGGTTTATTTGAGCACTTGTCAGTGTTAGGTTAATAGTTGGAGTCAATTCCAGTCTGGGCAATTATGTGAGTCTGTGATTCTCTGCAGTGTCGTATCACATGGGAATTTCCAAGCAGGTTCTTCACCAGACCAGAGCCTGCTCTCCTGAAGTCCTACTCTTGACCTTGTTGCCTTCTCTCAGGAGCCTCAACTCTATTTGCTCATCCCTGACTCTTACATCCCTGAGCAGCTCCTCCTCGTTTGTAAACACAGTATCCCACAGGGCACCTCTCCTTACCAGCTCCACAGTCACCCCTGTCAGAAAGGCATCACCAATGATCTCTAGGAATCATCTGCATGGCTTGCACCTTGATATGTTGACCCTTTGTCAGATATTGGGGTAGTTTACGTCTGCCACGAGGGCCAGGGCCTGCAAACATGAGGCTTCTTCCATTTGTGTGAAGAAGGCCTCCTCTACTTCCTCTTCCTCATCAGGAGGTCCATAGCACACCCACACCCACGGTAGTGTGACCCTTCAGCTCTCAGGGCCTGCTGAGAGTTGGCCCTCTGCAGGGCCAACCCTAGGCAGAGCTCCACCTTCTCCTGCTACTCTCTACCAGAAGATTCAACTTCCCCTGTGGGTCCAGATGTGGAGCCTTGTTAATGCCAGACCACCAGGACCACACACTTTCTCCAGGAGAGGGTATCTGTAGTCCTTGGCAATGCCTCATGCTCTTCTCTTGTGAGAGACAATCCAGTCAAGTTGAGAAGGATGAGACAAGTATTAAAAGATGACCAGTTGGAGCTTCAGTCAATGAGGACGTTGAGAAACCTGAGGAACCTGGAGTTCTTTGGTCCAGAGGTGCGGATGCTCCAGGCTTGGTAGGAGTAGCCTGGGAGTGCTTGAAGGTTGATCTCAGAGATGATGAAGCTTTTCTCTGCACTATGATCCACTATGAGAGAGAATTGTATCAGTAAAGGCCCAGTCTGGACACCAAGAAATGTCTCCCAAAGGGCAGTGCTGGGGTGGATCAAGTCACCCTGAGGGAGACTGGAGCAGTCCAAGGCTTTGTGTGTCAAGGAGCATCCAGGGAGGACAGAGAGATATCAGTAGAGCAAAAAGGATGCTCAGCTGAGAGCAGGGTGTGGTAGCACGGTGGATGTCTAGAGTGTGCAGAGGAAGAGGAGCAGGTGTTGGACAGCGTGTGGTGGAGATGACAGGGGGAAGTCCGAATAGTCCCCATCTGAGTTGAGCTCTTTCTCCCATTGGCCAAGGCTGTTGTCTCTGTCCCTGATGCCTATGAGGAAGCACCTTGTCTTTACAGCATTGGTTTCTCATGGCCTCCCCTTCCCCTGTCTTGACCCTGGCAGATGTCAGACCATAGATCTGCCTTCAGCTTTGCACATCTCCAGACTCTAGTGCCCGAGAGAAAGCCCTGTTGAATCATAGATGGACAGGACCTGACTTTACAGGAGCAGGGGTCAGGGCTTGGTCCTTTGGATTCATGAGACACATCCAGGTTTACTCATCACCACAGGACGTTTACCTTGCTTTTCCAAACCAGTCATCTCTACGTCAAGGTTTCTGCTCTAACTGGATGTTGGGGATGCTTTCTCAGTAATGCCCCTCAGTGGGACTCATTTAGAGTCAAGAAACTTTGGAGTTTGAATGTGTATTGGACTTCCTGAGTGCTTTCCTCAACTTTCTTCCAGTCTCCAAGGATCGTGATCTCAGCACAAAACTCATGGGTGAGGTCATTAAAGTGGTGCCTTGGACTAGTGCTGTGCTGCTGAGCTGGGCAGAGCTCTGGGGATGGAAAGAGCTGGTGGCAAGCAGGCAGCCCTGCCGAGAGACTGCTATGCCCAGGAGCAGCTCCTCTGCCCATCGCAGCAGGGCTGAGGGCACTCACAGTCTGTTTCTGGGACCTTAAAGCTGGTCAGGATTGAAAGGATGACTTAGAGTTCACTGGAGGAAAAATCTTTGCAGTGCTTGAACACAATAATCTCTGCCTGGAAGCCAATGAAGCTGCAGTTCCTGGAGGCATCTCCTAAAGCTGGACCAGCTACAGTTGATGGGATCTGTACAGCGGAGGCTGTTATCAGTAAACTTTGACTGACTGTGAAGGTGGGTGTGCAGGCAGGGGTGCCCAGGGCTGTCCTTGCGAGCAGGGTCCCTGCACAGTGCCAGGGGCTGTGTGCTGGGGCAGAGACTCTGCCGCCTGCCAGGGTCAGCACTCAGCCTGCCCGGGGAGCTCCCCATGGTGCTGGGAGAGAATATAATGAGGGGAAGGTGGGGCCCCGGCACAGCGAGATCCTGCTGCTGCTGAGAGGGTGCTGCATTTTTCAGGACTGCTCACAGCTCTAGTTACCTCCCAGAATACTTTTAAGGGAATTCCTAATGTAGAAGTCAAGGCAGAGATTACTCTTAAGGAGATTTCCTGAGATACACTTTTCCGTTTCTTATTCTAGTTGTTTATGCAATGACAGAAAAGGATAAATGGGAAAGGAGCTCTCAAAATTTAGGAAGCGATTGAGTCTCCTGAATTGCACAACTGAGTGGTCAGTAGGTCTGATGGGAGCCTCGTAACGCATCTTCAGCCTTTCATTTCCCTGTGCACAGCAGCAGTATCAACTTTGCTGGACCCATCAGGGTTGCTCTGCCCTTTTCTACCTGTAAACAGCAACATGCCCCAGCCAGTGCCCTGCAAACAGGCAGGGTTCTGTAGGAGAGTGCACAGATGGGTCTGTGAGCAGGGAAAAGACTTGGAACAGGGCAACACCTGCCAGGGTGAGAATGTCCTGGCAGCAGAGATATGATGAGGGAATCAGAGGACATTAAACCCAGAAAGTATTTTGGGAAGGAGAATTCAGAAATCTCCATCTGATCTCCTTCAGGGTAGAACCCTTCCACCGAGCAAGTCTCCTTGCCTCCTCTCCCCTAAACTAGTCTGTGCTCTCAGGGCCGGGTTCTCCAAGGCATGAACCCCCTCCTCTGCAGCCAGAGCTACAGCAGAGTCGTGAGGCAGCTCTCCAGCCCCAGGACCATGTCCCTCTGCAGAGCCCACGGCTGAGAGCAGTGAAGGAAGGTCTCCTGGAAAATAAAATGGGTGTCTGTGTGAGAGGAGTAGAGTCTGTGGGAAATGGCTTTGATTTTTCTCAGAGAAGTCTCTGTTAACATGTCAATGACTTTTTCTCCGAAGGAAGTGGCCAATGGCCAGAAGCAAAAAATGTCCAACAGCAGCTCCATCATCCAGTTCCTCCTCCTGCCATTCGTAGACACGCGGCAGCTGCAGCTCTTGCACTTC